AAAACTCTTCAGTGGCATTGCAATTTTTTAATAAGAACATGCATTATGTAATTTTGATTTTCATTGTCTTGTAATAAGCTTGAAGATGATCAATTGTTTTTGTAGTATGCTGAGTGTCTAATAATATCCTACAGATTTAATTAATAATTTTCTAAAAGTATTATTCCCCTCCCCCCTTCATTTCTGCTAACTATTCAAAGAGAAGAGAGAGAGTATCAGCAGCATTAGAAAGACGGTAATACTGATTTTTATTCGTGATATTGATTATTATTCGTGTATACTGAGTTAGCAGAAAAATTAAGTAATAACGCCTTGAGGTCTGAAAAGATCATATTTTAGCGTAAGCTATCATTCCCGCTACATTTGGCATCAAATACCAAATGTAAAATACCTTTTTCTCAAAAAAATTAACTACCGCGTAAGAGTTAACTGTAAGAATGTCCATTTTTCAAACTAATAAATGTTTTATTAATCTCAACTACCTTAATATCTGACCCTGATCATTGCAAGGAAACAGTAAATATTGAAAACTTTTATTTGTGTTTCTATTTACTGCGTAAAATCAGCTTTTTCAATGATTCATTTTATTCTAATGTAGGTCATCGTAACTACAATTTTAAATTAAAATTTTCCAGAGAAATAGCAAGTATGTCTCTTTACTGTAACTGAAGGTAATTATAGTTGACATTAGGTGTATTAATAAAAAAGACTGAAAATTACACAACAGTAATTCCTTGCGTAATTCAATATCCTTGCAATCAAACAAATTAAAAGTGATAATGTTTGAAACAGCTAAAATGCAGGAGGGAATAGCAATTATTCGTATGACATCCGTAAAAATTTTCAGCGACCCTGACCCGATAGGTTTTAGAAAGAAGAAATATGTCCTGGAATTACAGGAAAGGATTCGCTTGAATTCTCACATTTAATCTCGGTTTCCCAAGTTTTTAATTAAGTATAGCCGATACAAAGAGTCGTAAATTGTGTGAAAAATTAATTTTTTATATGTTGCGATAGAGGTCTGCCGTTCTTTTCATTGTTATATTTCACTATTGTAACTATAGGTTTACGAAATGCTTCGGAATGCAGAATTAGAAGTAAAGGTCCGATGAAATGAATAATAGATTTTGGACGTGTTCATAATGTTCAAAATGAAGAATCTCAACAGAATTGAATGAACTGACAATCATTGTAATAATTGATTATTACCCAAGCCCCGGAATTTTAGGTAGTTCGAAAAATTGTCTAACGTCTTCACAAAACTTCTTTCATCATAAAATTGGCCATGAAAGAACATCGTGCCTAGGCCCGAATCAGGCCTTGGTTGTATTTCATTGTCTACTCGTACTATTAGATAGGATTCGTAAATCATTGGCACATTTGATAATGGGAATTACTTGAACTAACAAATGGAATTCTTTGGAGCTGTTGCTGTATTAAAAATGCATGTTTAGCAACCGTAAGCTTTCATCTGTACTTGATTCTGTTTTTTTGTGTCCGTAGAGTATTTAATTAAAACATCAGAACTATCCATATGGGTTTTTATGGCGTTTTCATATCAATGCTGTTTAAACACTGTACTTTATAAAGTTTTCTATTAGAGATTTTTAAAGCTTTGTGTTAGTTTTCTAAATGCATAAAGAACATGTGCATTTTGAAATATGTTTATGGTAAACTTGAATCTTAGTTCCAGAACAAATGAAATTTTGTTTACTTGGGAAAATATCCATCGTCATTTTTTCTACAATAAGTCGTCCATGGAAAAAGTCCGTTTTCCAGGAAAAGCAGGAAACGGAAAAGAATTGTAAGGATTTGGTAGCATGGCTGGTATTTTTGCCTGTGCGTAATTCCATCCTTTTTTTCCTGCCTGCTTCGCAGAAAGATAAAGGTTTTTTTTATCCCCCCAACTGAATTTCCCTCTAATTTTAAAATGGAATTTTTTTAACGTACAACCTGTTGCAACAGCAAATACGACAATACATAAAACTATGCAATAAATATATAACAGACCTGTACTTTAGCAAAATGAGAAGCATGGCCCCTCCCGCCACTGTATCGCTGTATTAGCCAATAAAAAATTAATAGGAAAATGTCTCCTACGGGGACCTTCTTGGTAACTAAATTTCTATCCTCCATCTTTATGCATTTGCTGTATGCTTCCAAGCCCCCTCTTTTTTTCTTTCATTGATAATAACTTAGAACGCTGTTTTCCAAACATTTTAGCCTCGCGACTCACATAAATGCAGTTCCTATGAGAAAAAGAGTGTAAAATAGGAGATTCCAAGGAAACAAAGCAGTTATGGAGTTAATAATAAACAAATGTAGATATTAACAGTAAATTAATAATTATATTGATTGGTAATTATGTATATATATATTAATTGTACGGTAAGAAATAGGTTGCTTTAAAACTTTTGATGAGCTATCAAAAATTGCCTGTCGACGCGCTGGTAGGTCAAGCCTCCTGACGTAGAGCAATTAGAAAAGAATCTTATACGTTAAGGAATAATGATTCATTTTTAGAAATATTTTTTTTTATGAGGCAGATCGACATCTGTTGGATGAAGAGGTGAAAAGCATCACATTTCAGACAAAATAGCAGAGACAAAACCAATTCTATAGCTTGAAGAAAGTGAACCTATTTAATAACTATTGGGATATTATTAGGTGTTGAAGCTAATAGCAGCAGGTCTCTGAAGTTATGTGTTAAAAGTGTAAATTCTGAGGATTGTTTTATTAAAATTTGTGCTGCGTTTTAAGCTTCTTTGCGTCACTTGCTAAACTAAACATCCTTTTTCTTAAATAATGGCTTCTACGAAGAATAAGCTGTTTCTAAAAATGCATTTAAAAGGAAAAAATGATGTTTTAAAATTTATTGAAAATTATTAGCTTAAACGTATACAGGACAATTTCAAATAATGCAATTTGAGCAATAACAGTAAGTTTGAATGTCTACAAGGGTATAAAAAAATGGAAAATGAGCATTGAAGTTCTTAAAAAATAAAAAATTTTGCCTTTAAATTAGGTTCGAAATCACGAAATTCAGAAAACAAACAATTTAGACTTTTACAGTGGTTGACTTGGTTGCATTTGATTTAGAATTTTTGCAGTGCAGGCTTTTCCCTGTTATGGGTAACGATCCAATAACAAGTCAGTTCGTATCGTAACAAGTTTTGTACTTTTTGTTTTATTATGTAATTGCATATATATTTATTTATTGATCCGTATATTATTTAAGTGATCATTAAAATAATATTTGTGTATGCTTTGATTTATTAATATTATTAAATTATTATATTTTAAAAAGCCTTTTTCTTCCCGTCTTTTCTCTTTCTTCTCTTTTTAAGTAATACAAGATAGTCTTAACAAATTGCAGCTACGGGCATATGGGTCGCGATAATAAAATGTTAGGAAAGTGCTAGAATGGTGAATAGAATGACTCACTTACCTACACAAAGATAATTGTTTAAATTACAATGAGCACTTAATGAAATTACAACGAGAATTTAAATTACAATGAGCTTGTAATATTATGAACTGTAAAATATTTTTATATCTTTTATATATGTGCTTCAAATTTAATTTAAAATGGATTGTAATATAGAAGGGGAAATATAATACCCAGCGTTAGGTTTTAATTTCTGTACGATCCTATATGTTAACAAGGCAAAATTAGCAAAAAATGAGAAACTTAATTGGAAAATAGGGGTTAAAATATGCCCCAGAGCTTGGCAATATTCCTATTAAAAAATGGGTTACTATGTTTCTTATTAATGTTTATGGTAGTTTGCTAGCAGATAATTGCAGCAGCTAAAACCTTAAGAGATTATCTTCAGTAGATCGGTGGAAATGGTGTTTTTCGAAGAGACTGAAAACCGATGGAAATTTCCCATTCGTTTCGTGGGTAACCAGAATTCCTATACTTTCTTTCATTATTTAACAAGAATTCGCTCATATAATGAAAGGGGAAAATTGCGGTTCCTAGAATCTTCTTTCTGAGTCTTAGTTCATGACCGTTAATTACGAGTTCCAAATAGTTGACGGAGCTTTGCCAAAGTCTTGTCGCTGAATAGTATGTAAGATTTTACCAAAGAATGTAATAAAAACTTGTAAGGAAATTAGATTCTTTATATCCCTTGAAATGTTTAAAGGCGTTCCTAAATGCACAAGTGAAGAAATGGGTTAATATAGAATAATAGAAAGTTCATGTTGAAGTGTTTACCTCTCTTTGCAGTCTGAATTTCAGAAGAAATTAGTAGGTATATTTTTACCTAATGAAAATGTTAGTAATTTAAGCGCGACAAAGTAATTGAAATAAGTATTGAAAAAGGGAGAGTTCGAATATCGAAATGAATTGAAAACAAATTCGACAAAATATATACACTTATATTCGACAATATCAATTAATGAACCAAATATATTTTGTCGAATATATAACACATATATTCGACAAAATATATTTGGTTCATTAATTGATTAAGGCAAAGCCCTCAAGAGCTATCTTAAATGTAATACATAACTAATTAAAGTAAAAAGAACAAACGATTCAAAATATATTTTATCATTTCTTCTCCACATGAATTTAATTCTTCATCTATTAGTAGCTTTAAAAAAAAGAAGATTGAGTTTAAAATGTCAAAATATCCTTTCTCCGACACCTCTTCAAAATAATTAGTATGCTTTTTTGAGGAAGTCAAAAAGTAGGGCATGGTAATTGAGAATTAAATTAACAAAGAACGTTTAATTAGAGTAGAAAATGGGACACATGTGATACCCGTCTTATTTTTCCTCTGTATTCCCCCCTTTTAATATCAATATTTTGTATGCAGTTGAATGTATTGTTGTCAAACGTAAACATCCTTTTTCAGTTCATATTTCAAAGTGATTATGAAATTTTTTTGTTCATTCAGCAATTCGTTGCCTAATTTAGCATTTAGTAAAGTTGTCAGTTTATGGTAAAAATTTAGACGAAACTTCTGATTGTTGCTTTTGTTTTTCAGCTGACGAGTGAAAATGCTTTGAGGAGGGGATGCTGAAGCACGTGTCCTCTACAAATTTGTCCCCGTACAAGGTACAAAAATGCCTTTCCCGGGACACAGTCAGCCTGTCGAGCAGTTTGAGCTTCGGTAGTTCTGGTGCCCAAGAACCATTATCCAGTCGTTCCTCTAGCACAAGCAGTTTGCATGACGTTATTGCCCGGCCGCCTAAGGTGAGTACATACGTCTTTGGAACAAAATTCAAAAATACATCATCATTGCATAACTACGACAGCGCATAAAAGTGCCCGTTAAAAAGAGGTGTCTTGACACTTCCGAATATCTGGAGTTATAAGTAAGCCAATCAATTGCGTGCAGCAAAGAAAATATGCTGTTGGGATTTGGTTATAATGCATTGCGTGCGGATGGAAATTCTTTGACACGCTTGAATGATTATGTTGAGTCTAGCAACCTTAGTAAATAAAATTTAAACGCTGTAATTCTTCGTTTCATGATCCATTTCTTAACTACCTAGAGCTACTTAATGCACTACATTGAATAATTGCATTTATTATCTCCAAGGATCTTTTTCTGCCAGTGCCTGGTCTTTGTACATCTTGTGAGCATTCATTCTTTCTGTTTAACATTCCAGTTAGATTATTTACAATTGGTTATATTTTAGAAGCTTTGTATGTCAAGATCTTTAGAATTCTAAAAGCAATAAAGCAATAAGTTTAAACGCTTCCTCTGTTCTATGTCATTTCTGTTTTCATAAACATAAATAAGCCGAGGACTTAGTTAAATCGAGAATTACTTCCTGGGTGGCAGTGCTTTTGTCTTCTTAATCCCTCAGCTCCTTATTTGCTTCCATAATAACCGTGGCCATCAATGTGACGTCATCCGAGGGATTATAATTCTTTGATTCTGAAGATGTCTTCTGTTCAAACTTCATGGTACTGATTTCTATAAGGCAGAGTAGACTGTTGGGTGTTTTTATCGCATGTATGTCCAAGATTTGAGGTAAAGAATAACTGAACGTGACTTTTTATTGCGAGAACTATATATCTGTATATTAATGTAACCAACAATATAACCTATGTAGAAAACTCAAAAATATTTTAAAGCAACTCATCTTCTGTTTAAATGTGGGGCAATAAATTGCGTTTGTTTTCTTTTTGCGTTAAACACCAGTTTATTATTGAACATATAAAGTATAATGTTAAAGAGTTTCAGATTTTAAAAAAATGGGATAGTTGATAATTTTACCGATAAATCGCAGACATTATAAAATAAAATCTTGAACTCTTTTCCAAAATTGTACTACGGAACTAATTTTTTAATTAATTGTAATTTTGATACTGCTGAAAGAAGTAAGTCCGCAGAACTATCTGCTGTGTGTCTAGACTAGTCTTCATACATTTTCTACGCCTGAGGTGAGAAATAAATGTCTATGTATAATTAACCGTTTCAGAATTTTATTACGAATAACAGTAAATTGAGATCTTGCGATCAAAATTGTGTCTTTGAAGTTCTTTCTGGACGTAGGGCTGCGTAGCGCCAGTCGCAAATTGAAGATGAACGGTAAGAAAATCATTGCATATTAGTTTAAAAGGGATGTAGAATATTTTGTTTGCTAACGATATTTAAAAAAAATTAAGGATAGGCCAAAAATAACTAACAGCTGAATAATAAGCTCATACTCTATTGATAGTAAGGTACTTAATAGTGCTTTTCAATGCACTCTTTGCGTCAAATTGATTATTAGATAAAAATAAAAGGCGGAGACGTATGGAATCCATTGTCCTGTTAAAAACAAGATCACTGTAACGGAATTCGAATAATCATCGATCTCAATTACGTATTTTGGCCCACCTTGTAATAATATGGCGTAATCAAGAAGCCTCAGAATTATGCTCTGAAAAACTCGTTTCTAAAACTGCAAGTCCTTAAGCAAACACTTTCGCTTTTAATGCGGATGTCTTACATTTAACTGAACTCGAGACGGGCTCTTACGAATATGTTTGTTTTTTATTTTTGCCTATTCACCTGTTGCAGATTGACCTCGAAAAAGAGAGAAAGAAGCATTAGGTCGTAGTTTCATTTCTTTCGGAAAACCCCTTTCGAAAGAGCGAAAACATTGGCTGAGGTTCAGACTCATCGTCCTTCCCAATGCTTTGGCAAAAGGCCAAACGTTTTTGCTTTTGTACCTGGTTAAAATGGCCTCAGCTAATTACAAAGAATATGTGCAAAGTCTTGTTTGTCAGCTGTAGTGGATGAAACATGTTTTTATTTAGCACCGCGGTCTCCTTAGTATGCGGAAGTTAAAAATTATATTGCATAATCGTAATAATTAGCAAAATTAGTATAGAAAAATGCGTTTCAGTGTATACATCAGCAGCACTGTTTCAACAGGTGACTTAACGTAATATTTGCTTATGTCTAATAAAAATACAATTTTAAGCATTAAATCATGTAAAAGGCCTTTGTGATTCATTTGAATACTTCTCAAATATTGAATCATTACTTATGACATTTTTGCTATTAGTTTAAATGCAAGATATTAATTCTCCTTTGTATGTGATATATTACCAATGTTTTGCTGTTTAGCAAATAAATTCTGGGTGTATATTCTTTGTTTTTTGTTTTAATAGTTAGTAACAAATGTAGGCATACCGCTTAATACAACGAACAGACGCAGTTCACGTTTTCTTTTTATAAGACGTGCACTATTCACATTACAAGACATTTATTTTGCATTAAGCCTTGAATAAACTTCAGAAACATATTTATATATTCATGGACATATAAAGCATTATCATTTAGAAATAATGCTTAAAAAAAGGTATGTCTTGTTCTTCTTTATTTACTAATCCAAGCATTAAAATCGGCCTGTTTTAAATAAAATGCTTAAAATTAGAAGTCTACGTTAAATCCGATTTCTTATAAGAACTGTGTTGTGTTTCTTTTTTATGAACATACGAAGCAGCTTGAAGTAATTTTTCTGCAACTATCATTTGCTTACTTTACTAAATAAGAAAATGCCTTAATTCATCAGTGTAGAAGAAAATGGTACAATGTTGAGGATACTAAAGTAAGCTATATCTACCAAAGTCGTGCCGCCCACATATTTCGGCACCAGGTTTTTAAGTTTTGAAAATTATAAAATTATGTGAATATTTTTTATTACCTTTCACATAAATACTTAATTTATTATATTTTAATTTTGGACTTTTTCTCATTTTTCATTGAGGCAAGATCTGGAGTATACGCGAAAATCCAAAGGTCGCGAAATGGTAAAAAGGAGTGCGTGTTTAAATTATCTCACAAAGCTACGATTTCCAAATTGCGGGTTGCGACTTATCACTGGGTAAGAAGACAAATTGTGGAGGGTCGTGAATAGTTTTGAAGGCTTCTCTTTCGTCTATAACCAGTTGTATATTTAAAATTATTAATTAGTTTTTAGTTATTAATTAGCTGCAAATAGTTGCGCACATTTTGATTAGTATTCCATTACTTTTTCTTTGGTTTTTTTTTTCTTTCTTCCTGTATTTTTTTAAGCCTACCAGTGGCTTAAAAGTAAAATCGCTGAATTGCTGGTAATTTATTACGATTTCAAGTCCCAGCGAATGGTCTGGCTACGTAGAATTTTTCGTGATTTTATCCATGTGCATAAATACGAACTAGTTCCCTTAAAAACCCTCCACGAAGGCATCTCTTGTCTTAAGCAGACAGTCCATGTGTGCTTTGACGCTAACTGAAATAATCCAGTTCCTCTTTTTTCATCACCAAACTATGTGTGTATGGGTCTGCAAAAGCTGCAACCATGCACACATATGGGCCGGGCTAATAAAATGTTTAGCAAGCATTGCCGTAGAGGTTGGAATCCTTTGCAGTTTTCAAAGTTATCTTTTTTGCTTATTTTAAATATAATTTGATATATATAAAGAATAAAAAATGATTTGTTGTAAGTAGTTACGAAATTCGTAGTGAAGTGAGATTTCACGAATAGAATGTTAATAATTCCATTTTTATGTAAAGAAATTTGCAAAAAATGAAGGAAAACGAATTATAATTTTAAATTCAAATATGTTTTTTGGTGTGACATCTTCGCTCTTTTTATCACGCTTAAAAACGGGTAATTGGACTAAATATTGTTATATCCAAATTGTAACCAAATTGAGAAGAATCACGCATTTTACATTGGTACTGACCCTTTAATATTCTGTTTTACTCTTCATACAACACTTTTCTTACTTAAATCGCCCTTCCTCCTGTTCTGTTTATCTTGCGTAATTTACTCTCTCTGTAATCATTTTAATCTTTGCAACATGGCGTTAACCCTTTAATATATTTCATTACTATGCATATGTCTTTTTTCTGTCTAAAATCGTCTCGTTTCTTTCTTTTTTTTAATTTCATTTGTCTTGTCTACCTTTTTTCTGTCTGCGGTTTCTAATGGTATGTAATGGACTTGTTGGGATTCCATCTGACGTACTTGCCATTCATTACTCTGGCACGAGCAATACACACAAGTGCTCTCGTTTCTTATATCCGTGTTTTAGTTCTTTTTTCTTTTGTTTAAATACTTCTCGAGTTTTCCTTGTCTTTATCTATAGTGCGTTAATTGTCGAGTTGTTTGTCTTTTTAGCCGTCATTCTGCCCTTTCTGAAAGATTGGAGCTGGTGTTTGTATGATGTATTGTTCTTTAAACTTGTGAGGATCATTTGTTACTGGAATGTTGTTTGAAGACTGCTTTGTTATGGTGAAGATGGATATTCGAGTTTTCTTTCGTTTGACTCAATTAAATTTTACTTAATATCTGTGAATTTCGCTATATTAGCTCAGTAGTGGCCTGTAATACGCATGCAGTCCGTGAGGTCTTTTTTTTTTTTTTTTTGCGTAAAACGGGTAGGTTAACAAATTTATTATTACTGACAAAATTTCCGAATATTTTTATACTTCTCACCATCTTATGACTATCATTATACCATACGCTCCCAGCTTGCAGACTACGAAGGCATGGTAGGAAGGTGGGAGAAATACCTTGTATACTCCCCCTTTTAAAGGGCGACTGGGGTTTTTAGTTTTGTAATAAAAATATTGTCTTTTTTTTGCATATGTAAATTTTTCAAAAAGGAATTATAGATAAGCAGCAGTGAGTGGTTAAGTTATCTTTCACGTGCATTTTATAGAAGACATCTGCAAATTCAGATTTATTCAGTTTCTCTCTTAC